TAATAACTCTGGTAATTATTGTGCCTGTGCTTCTTAGGGCCTCGAAGATTTTTGTTTCGTCAAACGTTGGGTCGACTTCGGAGCGAGGAGGTATCCTGATATTTATCATTTTTTTGTTATGACTGATGGAATTGGAAGCAGTATCACACTTTTGGATAAATTTCCAATCATTTACATCTTGTCTAAAACATGCACACAATGTATTTGTGACATGCATCCTGGAAAACCTGTTGAGGGTACTTTTCATTTTGGCTGTACGTAGGCACAATTTGTTAGAGCTGAAAAGAATGTTAAAGAGTTGACTCTGTCTGTTGACTTAATGAAGAAGGAGAGCCAAAAGCTAATTGAAAGATCTGTCCTGGCTGAAAATGATATGAACCGTGGCCATTCTGATCTCATGTAAAAGAGTAACTGAGTCTCTTTAATGCAGTTGTGAATGAATCTTTCTTATTCTTTGCACCTGATGCTTGCAATGATAATTCATATGTAGGAATGCTGGATCGCAGATTCAAAAACTTGCAAGATCATTTTATAAGGCCGAATCTGAAGCTGCTGGTATATTCATATCCTTTTATTATGTTAGATCCTTTTTTGTTTCTTAATATTATCTTGAAACCAGTTTGCTTTTTCTGAATTGGTAATGGTCAAGGAGAGTGACTTCTTTTCGATCATTAAGGTGAATATTTCCAGTTAAATTTCCGTTAACTCTTTTGATGAAATGAAAATTCTGTCGACCCATAAGTATATCAGAAGTCGTACATATGTTTTTGAATTTTATTTATTAATTTGGTTAGGTTGTAGCATCAGTTACTAAACAAATGGAAGGAAGCTAACGTCCTTTAGTTTAATTGTAAGAGAGATGTGAAATTCTGTTCAATGCACAGTCAAAAGTCTTTTATGTGTATCAGTGTGTATGAGTAGGTACTAAAACTTGTATTCTGAAGGGGTCACCTAATGTGTTTGCCAAAACCTGGGATCCGCTGGTAATTTCTTGATGAAAGCAATATCCTAACCCTGAACAATTTTGAACCTAAACCCAGTAAAACCAACCTTTTAGATTCCATAAATTTGTTTGCTCAATTTCTTTCGTTCCTCGTAAAAATCTTTTGATTTGTTAGTGTCTTTGGTCATTTTTCTCTGCTTTAACGAAGTATTTGCTCAAACTAATCTACCGTGTTCCCTTAATGAGGTTCTTGCCTGGGGAGTGGGATAAGTTGCTGTAAATCAGTAAAACTTACTTTTTACTTAGTGTATTATCTAATGAACTTTTGAAGAACAAGATTTGTGAGATGTGACACGTTACAGTTTGAAACCTTATTATTACTTGGTTGTTTCAAACTCTGCTTTTGCTCATGATGTCACAACTCGTAAATGATTGAGCAGGAAAGGTTTGTATGTGTGTGTGTTGGATTGGTAAATTGACAATATCTTATGAGTTGCCTTTTCATGTGCCTCCAGCAAGCCTTTCGTATTATCCTTTTTGTTTATACAGTTTCTTTTTACATACTCTGCCCAGATTTGATGGATCTGCTGAGGGAAATTCCTGGTAGGGAGGCTTTGAAGCTGCGAGCAGAAGTAAGTTTCATAAATCTTAGAAATTCTACTTAAAATGTAACTCACTTTGTTTTGCACTTGTTTTCTTTTACTGTCACATTATAAATTTAAATACTTATTTTCTTGTTGATATTTGTGTTTGCACCAGGTAGCTACAATGGCAGCTCATCTTCAGCAGCAAAGATCAGCACTGGGTAAGAAAATACTGAAAATTTCTGAATTAGGTGTTCCCGTGTAACAGTCATCCAATGTTTGAGCTTTTCTCTGTAGTGCTGCAAGAAAATTTAGAGCTACTTTTCTCTTTATCGAACGATTATGAGATACAAATGATGGCAGATTCACTTGCTTCTACCCAAAGTATCATGAGACAAATATGATGAGATTTGATGTCAGTTTCACTTGTTTCTATCAAAGAGTATGAGAATAATGAAACCAAAGACTGGGAAATGATGAAGCTTGGTTTTATTTCATATCTAACCCAATTTTATGCCAGCACTTCTATTAGGTAGGCCCAACGGTTAGGCAACCATATTCTTTAACATATAGGCATATTTTCAAACTGAAATGATATACTCTAAAACCAATATAAGCAAAATGATGACATTTCACATCATAAGTGTGCATTTTTGGTAATCAAGTATGATGGGTTGGACAACTTAAAATTGTTAGGCCGTCTCATACGAGGATTTGTGATTGTGGTTATAAGTTGTAATTGATTAGAAGTGCGCAAATCTTTCCAATATGTTGATAATCATATCTTTAATGTTAAAATTAGTGGACATATGCTTGTGGACATGTGATTGTGGTTATAAGTTGTCATTGATTAGAAGCGCGCAAATTTTTGGTAATCAAGTATGATGGGATGGAGTTGTAATGTTTGTGGACATGTGCTTGTGGTTGTGTATGTTCAGACATTAAATTTGTATGTCGAGCTGGTTTTGCAACATAATGGATCAGATTGCTTCATATTTATTGTGTTTGTTTGTTCTGATTGTTTTTACATATTGATTGTATTTTGGGATGGTATTGCTCTATATGTTTCTACATATGTTGATTCAAGAAATAAGATATGCTTCTACATATGATGGTTATTCTAGATTACAAAGATCCTAATGTTTTATCAAGGTTAAACACAATCCTTGCTCATTGTAAACCAAACCAAAATCCTTGCCCATTGCAAACAAAACTAAAATCACGTTAATTGAACAACCAATATCCTAAAATCACGTTAATTGAACAACCAGTATCCTTGTTCATTGCAAACAAAATCAAAATCATGTTAATTGAACAACCAAAATGTTTATCACATCTATCAGATTCCCAACAAGTTCTTTGGTGCAAAACAAAACTATATAAATTAGTTTGTCTAGCTAAGCACACAAAGCTACAAAAACAATAACAAAACTAGCTGAGGATTAACATCTTCACATCAACATTGAACAACATATAAAAACAAACACAATATCCTTGTTCAAAGCTAGCTAAACATTAACTTCTTCTCATCAGACACACCAAAGGACCACATGGCTAACAAAAACATAGTGACCAAAATCAACTTCTTGTCAGTTTTTTTTTTCTGATACATGATGCAATTTTATTCTGGAGATCAACATTTTCCATTTTCAACAAATCCAACTCATTGTTATTCACTTCTAATCTTTCATACAATAATTTCTCCATCATCATTTTGCATTTCAATTGTTCCTCCAACACTTGAACTTGGCCTTTCAACTTCAAACAACTACCTTTCTGGAAGGGTGGTAGCTCAGGATCAAGCCAAGAAAAATATCCACAATCATCATTCTCTAATGCAGAGAAAATTAACATATTCAAATCGATACAAAATGGAATGTAACTTCAAAATTTTGTAAAAAACATAGCTGCAGTGAGAGGTCACAAATGAAAATTAAACATAAAAATTCTATCTTTCCAAAATAAATTAGACTTACCATTCAAACTTTGCACTGAAAGTACCTCTGAGCCGAATCCCAATCAGTATGAGAGGTCATCAGATTGGACCCAATATCATGGTAACATGCTAATTTAGAAATTGCGGAACTCGAGAAGGTTGCTGCCGAAGTTGTCTTCCTAGATGAGTTGGAATCGATTAACATACTGTCAAAGTTGCCTTCTTAGATGAAGAATCCCCCTAATTTTCTTTTAGGTTCTTCCTCAAAGCATATACGAGTTAAAAGTCAAAATCAATTTAGGGTTCTTCATCAACAGATGATCCTTATTTATCCACAAATTCAAACGAACAGACATCGTTTTCGTATGACGTGGAAAAAAAATCGAATAATAGAAAAATGAGACGAAAACGGCACCGTGTTAATTTGAGGTGGAAAAGAAAAAATCAACCGATAAATACGACTCCACAGTGCAATGGCATTTTCAGTGCCACGTTAGCTTCTCTAAGATTGGTCAAAACCATGTATCATTTTGCAAGAAATTGAAGAGCATTATAGTGTGCAAAAATGAAAAGATAGTAATTAATTTGCAATCTCAATAAAGCTGATGCGCAATTTTGCCAAAGATTAAAGAAGATAATTTTTCTTTACGGCGCATTAAGGTTTTTAGGCAATGATATAACTTAAGAGAGAACAGTACAGTCTGTACAGATTGTCAAGACACTCAAAGTCCCAAACAATGAATCAGACAGATCCAAAACTAAAACAAATGAGTATCAATATCACTCGGTTCACACTCTAAATTCCCTCAATTTAATTATAATCATTTTTCAGATTCACATTAAATAGCAAAACTATTTCCTCATCTGCGTGAACAAATCCGAGGGAGGCCTTCCAGCTCCCGAGCCACCACCAAAGGCCGCAAACCCTCCACCGCCCTGCTGGTTCCCAAAAGCTCCAAATCCACCACCTGTTTCGCCCAGCAAAAAAATC